TTTCATAACAGTAAACAAAACAGGATGCTGTAATTTGGCACTGCATTACTAAAAGGATAATGTTTGCCCCAGTCTGTATATGAAAGCAAAGTTCTGTGCATGTTCTTCATATAGATGTATGTCTGGATCTGCATGCTCCCCTAACAACGTCACAGTATTGAACTGATTGGATGCACTTTTTGATGTGCCCAAGCATGCAATTATGCAGAGAAAGTGACCTACTGCTAGTCATTATTCTGAAAGAGTCATATACTCATAAAGAGGAGGGTTAATAATGGTAATAGGTCTTTCCCATTAGTTGATTCCTTAATGTCCATTAATATTCTTTCCATTGTCCTTTAGTCACCGTAATGTAGTGCCATGTTTTCATTCTCCACTCCTTAAAGTAATGAGTGTTCTTAACATTTTCAATACTGCTCATGCTTTTGATTTGGCAATGTAATGATATTTCCCATATATCACCTTAAGCCATTTGGCTGCTGCCCATAGGCTACTTCACTTGATGATAGTTATCAATACCTTAAAAAAAGATAATATTATGTAGGCTCATGCTTAAACCTCTGCTGATGAAATAAATGAGACTTGGAAGTGGTTTAAGGTTTGCAGGATGGTCCCTGTTAGTCTTTTATAGATAAACTCCTCTCCCCGCTGCTCTGCTGCAGTAGCTGTCAGTGCTGCCGAATTTAAGAATGATGACAGATTAGTCCAACTAGGCTATTTCCTCTTCAGGCATTAATGTGGGTCAGCCTGTGCCCCTTGACACTCATGCAAATCCTTTGCCTTTAAAGGGTTTAACTAGGTGTAACTGAGCTGGATGGAGGAGGAGGAGGAAATCCCTTATCCAACACAAACATACACACAGAGGGAAAAATAATTAAACTCCTGGTGGCTAATAAGAGCAAAATCTTAACCACCTTGCACACAAATTTACTAATGTTAAACAGTGTAAGTAAAGAGGCAAAGAGCATTCCTAGAGCTTCCCTTTTTACTTAGCAGCTCAGCGGAGAAAGACTTAAGAGAGCAGAGTTGGGTTGGTTGGTCAGACTAGGACCTGGGAGATCAGGGTTCAAATCTCTGCTCAGCCAGTCATTGCCTCTCAGGATTGTGCGGAAAGGAGGGGGTGGGAATAACCATCTTGAACTCTGAGGGGGGAAAGGTGGGGTCTAAATAACTAAGAGTCCGCTTGTTCACAGTGCAACAGTCAGGAAGCAGGGCAGGCTCTCTATCTCTGCTTTCAATTTTTAATTGTCCCACTTTAGAATTTGCTAGGCAGATATGTTCATTAGGGGCTCTGCATTGGCTTTGTGGAAAGGAAAGCTAATGGGAAGAAAGTGCTTTCCCTATTGCAAACCATTGGAGTGGATTAATGCCCTCCAGCCCCGCAACACAAATTTTCAGCCACTTGATTATTGTGGAATTAGCTTAAGCACAGAGTGCAAAATGCCTTACAGCACAATCCTAACTATGCCTACTCAGGAATTCCTATTGAATTCAATAGGGCTTGCTGGCAGGTAGGCGGAATTAGGATTGTAAAACTTAAAACTGCAACCCTTACCTGAAAGTAAGCCCCACCTGACTTAAATGTAGGCTTTTATGATTCTGCGGTTAGGCTCTCATATCACCCAACATATGATGAGCAAAATAAAATGAATAAATCAGATTTACTTAAATGCATGGTGGTTTAAATTCTGGTTTTTCATACAATCAGCTTCTGGATAAAGACAGAACAGGTGATAGTGAAAGGGGTGGGGGGGTGTGTTTTTAAGGAGGTGGAAATCAGTGCCACAGGAGCAAAAAACTGTAAAACTATATCCACCTTGAAACCACCAAGAAGAAAAAAACCAAAACTTAAAATCCTTACTTATATTGCCAGAGTGCTCAAACCTTTCCTCCTATCATATAATTGTATGTGTGCTTTGGATAGTTCCTTGGCTGGTTTGGTGTGTCTGAAAGAAATTTCAAGCTGTGTCTTGTGCCCCTGGTTTCACAACAGGTCAGCCTGATTAACCTCATACTGCTGAGAGTGTCTAGCAAGGTATTTAGCGCCAGGAAACCACTGAAGTGTTAAGCTCTGACGGTGACCTATATTCACCCAGTCCCCCAGCAAGACTGAGCAAGGCTGAGCATACATTTCATCTGTTTCCTAGCTGAAAATAAACTGTCCAATCCTTTGGCTTCTGTGCACTGAATAAAGATACAGAATTTACATGTATGAGCAGAGGGCTCTCTTCTGCCAATAAGAATTTCATACCAAGCAGATATCTAAGCTGGTTAATTTCCACGGGGTGTGTATGCAATATAGACTTTATCATCCCTCTTCAGCAGGAGCACAGAGGCTGCATTTGTCCCACAGTGCTTGGCTTTTAAATTTATTTACATCCTCCCTTTAAGATCACGGGTTACACATCACCAAACATAGAGGACGAAAGATGATATAGCTTTGCACCAATTTGCATATGCTGATATATATATATATAGGCAGAAATGCAAATTTGGAAATCATTTCCATAATGCAAACAGGAATTCAGCGCATTTCACTGCAGTGGGGAAGACTGTGACGAGATGACACATGTCCCTTCTCGATCTGATGTCAAGATGCTAACCATTGATGGGCAGTCCCAAAGGTCCTGGCTGCTGCTGCTGCTGATGTTGTATCTTTAAAACTAGTCAGGCTGACCTCCTAAGGAAAGGAATGGCCAGGGAGGCTGCTGGCCATTGCCCTCTAGCATCGACTGCCTGAGATAGAGCAAAAGGGTCATACCTCAGTGCCAGAACACCTGCCTGGCATGCAGAAGGCCCAGGTTCAATGCCTGGTATTTTCAGGTAGGGCTGGGAGACATTCCCAGCCTGAAGCCCTGGAGAGCTGCTGACAGTCAGTGCAGGCAATGCTGAGCTAGGTGGCTCAGCTTCCTCGTGTTTCTCACACTGCCCAAGGGTAGGGCTGGCCCAGCAGCTCAACAAGAAAAGTTATGGAAACGGTTCTTTCCCTTCTCCTTTTCCTCGCTGCATTTTTGCTGATTATGCTGCTTTTGGAGAACTTAGATAAACTCACTCCTTACTGGAAGCTGCCAGAGCTAGCTGCACAGTGTGCAAAATTAATGTGGAAAAGTAGCCAAATGGACTGCCATAACATGAATTTTTAAAAGCTTTCTCTCTTTAATATAGTATATGACCTGGGGGAAAGAAAACGAGGAGGATTTACCTGTAACAACGCATTTAAAGAAGTCCATTGTGCCTCACTAACCATAAACAAGAAATCAGCTGTGTTTTGTCCAATATGGTTTCCATTTGAAATAACCTTACCAAGCTAAGACATTCCCTTCTTCCATATGGATCAAACATCTTTGATAAAAATAAATATTTAAGTCTTTGGGGTTTGCTCCAGCTTAAATTCAGTCTTCCTCAGTTCTTATTTTCACAGTATCATCTTTCATGAAACATAAGTCTAAGAAAAGTGTTACATTATTTGAACTAGCCTTGATGCTGGTTTCTCAGATAAAAAAGATAAGTTTGTTCAGGCTCTGTTTAACTGGGTGGTTGTGGTGGGAAATAGGTGAGCATGAGGTCATGAAAATATGTATGATTTCACACAAGCAAACTGCTTGGCACCCAGACCTACCATTAATTTTAATCTAAGCCTTCCCAGGGCCCTTTAATATTGCAATGAGAAGGCAAACAACTTTATTCTAAACAGTCTATGAGAATAGAAAAGATAATAGCTGGCAAAACCTAGGGTGGGGGGAAAAATCATTATTGGAAATAATAGTTTCTCTTGTTGAGCATTACTGTTTGATAAGTTATACAGTGGTACCTCGGGTTACAGATGCTTCAGGTTACAGACTCCGCTAACCCAGAAATAGTACATCGGGTTAAGAACTTTGCTTCAGGATGAGAACAGAAATCGCGCGGCGGCAGCAGGAGGCCCCATTAGCTAAAGTGGTACCTCAGGTTAAGAACAGTTTCAGGTTAAGAGCGGACCTCGAGAACGAATTAAGTTCTTAACCCGAGGTACCACTGTATTGAGGATCTGATCATAGCTGTCTGCTTTGGGGAGTGATTTCACCTAAACCCAGTCTTGTACTAAAGCAGCAGTAGGGAGCTTTGAGTCCACCCACCAGGCCTCTTAATCTCACCCCATCACTCTTCCTAAGCCACCCCGCTTCCTGTTTCCTAACAATCTCTTCCACCATGCCTTCAAACTACTACCACTGCATTTCTTCTCTGTGCACCGAGAAATAACCTCCCGATGCCTCCCACCCCACAGTGAGGACACAAATGGAGTTGAGAGATACAGGGAGAGATCCCCCCCCCCCCGGATGGCCAGCTTCTGTCTTTTCTTAAGTGTAGAGCAAGGGCGACACCAAGGTGTGTGGGTGTTTGGCCCCATCCGCCACTGGTATGCACACCATCACACGAGGGAATTGTGTGGGGTGGAGGCAAGGTTTTCTGCCCCTCTTCTAAAGACAATACATGACAAGCAACAGCACCTCATAAGTGGTTCTTAGCTGACTGCAGCTATACAAGGACTGACAAGTAGATTAAGTCTTTGCTAGTGTACAGCGTACACACATTGAAATTAGTTACCATGACCAACTTAGGTCCATTAATTTCACTGGTTCTGCTCTTAAGTAGAACTTACTAAATTGTAGTAACTCTGCCTATATTGTTGTCTGCTGCTATATTGTTGCCTTAAGCCAATAAAAGAAAAACAAAAATAGTTTTTGCTGATGTTATTTAGCTCTGGTATTCCCTGGCCTCTTGAGTGAGATGGGCGCACAACCCCAGAGTCTGTCAAGACTGGCCTGTACGGGCAGGGATGTATTAGTTAATGATGGAAAACCCATTTGCCTGTTGGGAAATAATACAGGTTAGGCTCGGGAGAATGTAAGGAACTGAGTAGGTATGTGCTTGCACCGGTTTATTTAAAATTTATGCACTTTGCTGCTGAAGTTATCTTCTAACCCAAGTATTGGGGTGGTTGTTTTTTCTCAACTCCACAGGCTAACTGGCCAGCGGTTGCCCCGTGACAGAGGACATGGAAGAGCAGCTGTGTATGCCACGGACACTGGAAACTTCAGTGAAATGCAGCTTCTACTGTAGGTTCTGCCTGGCAGAATGAATACTGGCTAGCTTTAACGAAATGGACGTTATTGTGATGAGGACCTCCCTACGGAAGGTTACATGGTGCAATATGAATAACTGTAGCCCTCCATTCGTGGAGTGCCTCAACTTCTTTCTTTCGTCTGCCCGTGTGTTGCCGATCGTAAGTGCTACTGTTTCATCCAAGAGACTACTTTTTTTTTTTTTAACTGTCAGTACTTGGACTACTGTTTACCACGTGAAGTTAAAATACAAACGAGTGGTGTTTTGCTTAGGGTCTCTGGTCCTGTTCTTAGAATCCTAAGTGTCCTGATCATTTCATAGAGGGAAAACTTTAGCTCAGTGGGTTGGATTCAGGTTTATTCATGATTAGAGCAAACCTCTGAAATCAGTGTAACAAGTTTGTCATGAGTGACTAACTTAGACCTTTCATTAGATCTACTTCAAGCATGATGAGTAAGCCTAAATCCAATCAAGTATATAGACCAACTTGGGTCTTCAGTTGTTGGACTACAGCTCCCATCATCCTTAGCTCGCAGGACCAGTGGTCATGGATGATGGGAATTGTAGTCCAAAAACAGTTGGAGACCCAAGTTTGGGAAACCCTGTTCTAGACTGAGGTTGACACTCAAGAGTGCTGCCTAGAGAAGGTATATGGTAGACTGTTGAAATAAGGTAGTAGCTTTCACCTATTCAGATGTGGAGGCCAATGTATCTACCACTCCTTTTTTCTGACTCTCGTGCTCTTTTTATTTGACTGTCTCATTTTGTTAAAAAGGTTTAACATAAAAAATGGGGCTGGTCACCCAGAAAGTGAAGATTGCCAGTGATTGTTTCATGCAGGCTTTATATAAGATACAGGAACTTAATTTATTTTGAGAACAAAATATTAGGCTGTGATTGGCCTGCCAAAACACACAATATTTCCCGACATGCTTATTTTTAACTTTAAGAAACATTAGAGGAACTTTGGGTGGTAGGAACTGAAACATTGTGGTGATTGTTACTAGTCTGCATGCCTATGAAAGAATGCCATTACTACAAGTAATTGGAGAGGAGAGATGTAGGTTGTGTTTGAACTGACCCACAAGTGAACTTTATAAATAGACTTTCAAGTTAGAGGGCCAACATTCTAATCCAATATTGAGAGACCTTTTTGTTTGAAGCATATATTTAGTGCTTGATTTGTGCAAACACAGGTATGCTGCTCAGAATATTAAGTACAGATTTCTTCAGAAGATTAGTTTGCAGTATACTAACTTTGCCTCTCTGCCTGTTCTGTTCTCGCCAAGGACCTTGGTTTGGGGTTGTAAGGTGCAAAAAGTAGTTTTTAATATGGAGGCATATTAGTGGGCATCTTTTCTGACTTCCCCCAGCTTCATTGTAGAAGTGTTTTGAGCCAACTTGCGCAAAACAGATTTAAAGTTGGGACCGGGCCACAGTAGATATATGGCACCTGAGTCCCACAACCTCATGACTAGCCTTTTCACTTTATTCACAACACTGTTTTAAAATAGTGGTAACTAGCAACATTTTAACAGAGCAGAAGAATAGAATTGTAGAGCTGGAAGAGACCACAAGGGTCCTCTACTCCAACCCCCTGCAATGCAGGAATCTTGCTCAATGTGGAGGCACAGGACAAAATGAATTAGGATTTGGACTGGAAGGATAGCTTTAGCTGTGAGTCCTGCATATTTACAGCTGCAGCCGTTCTTTGTTTAATAGAGCTTACTTCAAAGTAGGGACGCAGGTGGCGCTGTGGGTTAAACCACAGAGCCTAGGACTTGCCAATCAGAAGGTCGGCGGTTCAAATCCCTGTGACAGGGTGAGCTCCCGTTGCTCGGTCCCTGCTCCTGCCAACCTAGCAGTTCGAAAGCACCTCAAAGTGCAAGTAGATAAATAGGTACCGCTCTGGCGGGAAGGTAAACGGTGTTTCCGTGCACTGCTCTGGTTCACCAGAAGTGGCTTAGTCATGCTGGCCACATGACCCAGAAGCTGTACGCCGGCTCCCTCGGCCAATAAAGCGAGATGAGCGCCGCAACCCCAGAGTCGGCCACGACTGGACCTAATGGTCAGGGGTCCCTTTACGTTTTTATATAACATTGCATGCATTTCTTCACCCTCCCATGCTGTATCATTAGCTACTAGTGAGTGGGGCAACATCATATGCGTTTCCATTAATACACGGTACAGGGAATCGGAAGGGGAACTTGACACAAGTTTATTTGGGGCAGTAGCTGCACTTTGATTAGAGCGTCCTGTTTGGCCCTCATAAGCAGTGCTGCTGAATCAGTCAGTAGCAACACAATAACTTTTCCAAGGCGCTTACAGCTTCTAAAAATGCAAACGAACCTCTCACTGCACTATCTCACCAGTGAACAAATTGCATGGGAACTCTTCTTTCAAGTTCAAATATACGAAAAAAGGGTTTGTATATGGGACTTTCTACACAGAGCACATTATTGGCAAGGCTTGGCTGGATGGGGAGAAATAGAGTTTGCGGGAAACCATTCAAATCTGAAAAAAGCAGGCCAAGTGTTGTTGTTGTCCCCCCGTTTGATGATTAAAAAGACACTTTGCTAAAGTCAAACTTCACATTAACAGAGCAGCTTTTTGAATACAGCCATACCTTGGAAGCTCCTGCAGCCAATCAGAAGCCCAGAAGCCCCATCGGACGTTCGGGTTCCACAACAACGGTTGCAAACCAGAATAATCACTTCCGGGTTTGTGGCATTCGGGAGCCAAAACGTCTGAGTTCCAGTGCGTTCGGGATCCAAGATACGACTGTATTTACATGCAATGCAGTAAGTAAACTAGCTTTGGAACTGGCTTACTTGTTTTCTCCCCACTGCAACCAATTAGAAAGACAATCATAAAAAAATAAGCCAAAGAAAAACCAAAAAAGGAATGAAAAACACAGACTACCACCTTCTGCCCTGCCAGAACAAGAATGATAGGACTCTGAATTTGATGGTTCCTCTGCCTTTTCATTTTCCCAACCTCAACCCCTTTGGATTGCTCTGCCCATATTTCTGTAGGTAAATAGCACAGTGTAGTTTAAAGGGTCCATTTTTGTGAATTCTTGAACCACTTGATCTCTGGATTACCTTAAAAGAGGAACTGAGCGTTTCAGACTTGCACTATCACATGCAGGGAAACTCAACTTGTATTAAGACCCTCGTCTTGTTTGAAAGCAATGTTATGTGGCACAAAATGTACACTGAAATAGAATAAGCACGAATAAAGGGCTTGCACAGGGCTCTCGCCATCAATTACGACACTTCTTGCCGCTAGCTTTGTAAGACATGACTGCTTTCTGTCTGTGGAGGCGTTTTGCTGCTATAGTCATAAAAATGTTTACAAGAGATAATCGGTTCAATTCCTGGCGTTCGGTGAGCGTGCATCTTAGCATAAAGAACACAAGAGTGTATAAGGGGGAGAGAGAGGAGCAAAGCTACTTTAAAACTCATAGAATCAGAGTTGGAAGGGACCGCCCGAAGGTCATTTAGTCCAAACCCCTGCAATGCAGCTAAAGTATCCACGACAGATGGCCATCCAACCTCTGCTTAAAAACCTCCAAGGAAGGAGAGTCCACCTCCCCACAAGGGAGACAGTTCCACTGTCGATCAGTTCTTACTGTCATAAAGTTTTTACTGATGTTTAGTCGGAATCTCCTTTCTTGTAACTTGAAGCCAGTTACCCTCCAGAGCAGAAAAAACAAGCTGGTTCTCTCCTTCCATATGACAGCCCTTGAGATATTTGAAGATGGCTATCATAATCTCATCTCAGTCTCCTCTTTTCCAGGCTAAACATAATGCAGCTCCTTCAATCTTTCCTCATAAGGCCTGGTTTCCAGACCCTTGATCATTTTGGTCGCCCTCCTCTGCACACGTTCCAGCTTGTTAACATCCTTCTTAAATTGTGGCTGCTAACTTTCTTGTAAGCACATGGCAAACCTAAAGTACATGAGATAGTGGGTTTTAAGGCTTGCTACAGCACATAGGGACACTGGTGGCACTGTGGGTTAAACCACAGAGCCTAGGGCTTGCCGATCAGAAGGTTGGCGGTTCGAATCCCCGCGACGGGGTGAGCTCCCATTGCTTGGTCCCCAGCTCCTGCCCATCTAGCAGTTTGAAAGCATGAAGTGCAAGTAGATAAATAGGCACAGTGGTACCTCTGGTTACATACTTAATTCGTTCCGGAGGTTCGTTCTTAACCTGAAACTGTTCTTAACCTGAAGCACCAGTTTAGCTAATGGGGCCTCCTGCTGCCGCCGCCCGATTTCTGTTCTCACCCTGAAGCAAAGTTCTTAACCCGAGGTACTATTTCTGGGTTAGCGGAGTCTGTAACCTGAAGCGTATGTAACCTGGACCTGCTTTGAGAAAAGCACTGTGTTACTATTGGATCATTTTTTAAAGGGTGTTTGGGAAGGACCACATCCTTCTAAGGATGAGAGACACATACCATCACAGAAGGGATAAATGAGATCTGGCTTTAAAGGTGTTTTTTATGCACTGACTTGGATCTGAGCCCCACTGAAGTCAGCAAAACTTGTCTTGAGTAAACATGCACCCAACCAGGCTATACTAGTTCACAGGGTGTAAATGAAAGCCTGAATGTACTGTAGTCCAGATTTCTTGTATGAACAGGTAGTGCCATTGATAGAAACGGAATAGCTTTCTTTAAAAACACCAGGACGATCAACCTTCTTATCTGGAAATGAGTGTGCATAATCACAACAGAGAAGCAGAAGAGTTACAGACTTTTTATTACATAGACTGGGTTCAAATTTCATTTCTGCTTCACAAGCAGACTAAAAGAAAACAGCAAGTAAAAAATTGTCCTCATGGTAAGAAGAAAAGAACGAACATTTTCTTAAATTTTCCTAAGCATTTTTCTTATGTTTCAATTACCAGGGTAGTCAGTTAAAAAACAACAACAGCCTACCCATTAAGAATCGAAACATTGCATTATTATTTTTTTAAAACCTGTTTTAAGCTTCTTTTGAGGGAAGCAGCAAGGAACCACCTAATTGTGTCATGGGTGCCACTCATTCACAATTAGGACTGCCTGTGTTCTATTTGCAAACGAGCATCTCTGTGCCTTAAGCAAAGTCTTCCCTTTTCAGATTACAACATGATTTCTTTTCTTTTTTTACAGAAAAGGCACTGCACTGTTTTTAATAGATCAGGTTCATAGTGCAATATGCCACTAACACACACATACACACACACGCACATGAACGAATGGACTTCCTAACAGAGAAAGAGAAAC